TATATATATATATATATATATATATATATATATATATATATACACTCCTGATCAAAATCTTAAGACCAGTCAAAAAATTGCAAGAATTTGCATGTTGCACTATTGGATCTAAAGAAGGTTCTAAGTAGAGCTTCACAATGTTAAAAGAAGAAATCTGCGTAAAAGACAAAAACTTTTGAGCTGGGAATTAATTGAAAACTGCAATTACACTCATACATAATTTTTTTTCAGCTGATCAAAATTTTAGGATGCCAGTGTTTCCAGGAGGCTAGTGGGAACATTGCCTCAAGTGTTGAAGATGGCTTCACGAAAGGCATCCACTGTCTGGAACTGATGTCCATTTTTGTAAACGTCCCTTGCCATCCATCCCCAAATGTTCTCAATTGGGTTTAGATACGAGGAACATGCAGGATGGTCCAAAAGAGTGATGTTATTCTCTTGGAAGAACTCCTTTGTCAGGCAGGCGTTGTGAACTGCAGCATTGTCCTGTTGAAAAACCCAATCATTACCACACAGATGAGGGCCCTCAGTCATGAGGGATGCCTGCTGCAACATCTCCACATAGCCAGCTGTGTTTGATGCCCCTGTGTAAGCTGAAGCTCCATTGTTCCATTGAATGAAAACGCACCCCAAATCATGATGGTTGCCCCCACCACTATGCCGTGTAGAAAACATCTCAGATGGGACCTCCTTGTCATGCCCGTAACGTTGGAAGCCATCAGGACCATCAAGGTTAAATTTTTTCTCATCAGAGAAGACAACTTTCTTCCACCTTTCAATGTCCCATATTTGGTGCACCTTGCAAAGTACAAATGGGCAATTTTGTGGCGTTGAAGAAGACGTGGCCTATGAAGACGTTTTTTGTTTCTGAAGCCCTTCTCTCGCAGATGCCGTCTGATGGTTATTGGGCTGCAGTCAGCACCTGTAATGGCCTTCATTTGGGTAGAGGATCATCCTTTGTCTTGACCGACAGCCAATCGGCTCATGTGGCTCAGAGCTGGTGAAATTTTTTGGGTCTGCCACTTGACTTTTTGTTCCATAACCCTCAGGATCATATAAAAAAAGAAAAATGACTGTCTTACTACGTCCAACCTCAGCAGCGATCGCACGTTGTGAGAGGCCTTGCTTAAGCAGCTCAACAATCCTACCACGTTCAAAGTCAGTGAGCTTTTTTGCTGTTGCCGTCAGGAGGTCTTGACTGTGTAAAGACTTGACAGAAAATGACATGGAATCCAGATTTTTGCACAGCTTTTGGCTTTTAAAGACTATAGTCTTAAACTTTCGATCAGCTGAAAAAATAATGTTTGAGTGTAAATGCAGTTTTCAGAAAATTGCCTGCTCAAAAGATCTTGTCTCTTGCACTGATTTTTTCCTTTAACATTGTGAAGCTCTACTTTGAACCTTCTTAAGATCCAATAGTGCAAAGTGCAAATTCTTGCAATTTTTTGACTGGTCTTAAGATTTTGATCAGGAGTGTATATATATATATATATATATATATATATATATATATATATATATATATATATATATAGTACTTTTGTGTTAGATTACACTGTGGTAGTAAACAACAGATTTTGTTGTAAAGGAATAAAGATACATTTGCCATATAAGAAAAATTTCACAATCAAAACATAATATTTGCTGACTGGAGATTCACAAGTTTTGGCTAGCTCCATGAGCTTAAAAATACAAAATAGGGTTAATATTATTTTAAAATACTGTTTCATCTATACATTGTTTGGACACCATAGTGTATGACAACATCAAATA